CGGCGGGCAACCCGATCCTACCGAACAATCACAATTCACAAACAACACACAACAACAACAATTCACAAGAACAACAACAACAATTCTCAAAGAACAACCACAACAATTCACAAGAATTTCCGTAGCCATCAATACCACTTCATCATATTCAACAACTCATATGCAATTTAAGTCACCACAATAATTACCCACAACAAGCCAAATATGTTATTACCACAGTTGTTCCAAGTGCATCATTTACGATTTCCTTCCATCATTTGTTTTTCAGTTCTTACCACATAACACTTTCACAATCACACACCCACATTTGGTTTGTTTCCATTTACTTGCACCATCATATCGTAAGACTTAACCAACAACGTTCAAGGCACATAAATCACAAGAATTCACAAATAGTTCACATAAGTAAACACATACTTCCATGTCGACATCCTCAAGCTTTTACAAACTTTGCACATAACAAGATAGGCACATCAAATCACTTCTCACAATCACATATAACTTGGTGGTATGGAAATCAACTAAGGCAATCAATTCACATATTCTCATACAAGGTACACATACCGTATGCTCGTCATAACAAGGGGGATTCTACAAGAGTTAAAGTTAGCCATACATACCTTTCTTGAGCTTTTCTTTAATTACTACGATATTCCGGAAATTCTAGCAACTTCAATCTATTTTGGGACATAGCAAAATTACACACAAATTAGGAAGATATTCATAATTCTAGCTCATTTGAGCATTTTATCAAATACTAGTTGAGTATCTTGATATCAAATCCCCTTTTCAAGATTTTCTTCATTCCCTAACCCAATATTTACTTATTTATGTTAAGTGATCTTCCCATAAACCTAAGTTGTACATGCATGTATACATAATAGCATTACACCCAATAATCATACCTCAATACCCCATCTTATACTCCAAACTCGAAATTAAAAACCTAGGGTATAGAATCTTACCTCTTAGATGAAGAACTTGTGATTGGGTTCTTTGATTCTTGAAGATTGATGCAAGGTTTGGATGATTTAAATGTTGGGTTCCTCCTTCTCTCTCTAAAATGCTCTCAGCTCTCTCTAAAATCAGTCGAAAATGACCCCAAATGAAGCCCCAAAGGCTATATATTGAAATGGGGTCGGGTTATAAAATTAGAAAATTAACCCTCCGATGTCAATTCTGCTATAGCAGAATGGATCGCAGAACGCGAATGCTGGCCGCATAATGCACCGCAAAATCGGTGCCCAAAACTGGGCTACACTGGCCCAGTCTGCGACAGAAATGCGACCGCAGAGTCAACAATGCGACAGGAATGCGGTCGTAGATTTGACACAGGATAGCATTTTCCAGCCTTTGGTAATTTGATCATAACTTTGCGTAGGAATGTCCAAATGACGAACGGTTTGAAGCGTTGGAAACTAGACTCAAAGACCTTTCATTTGATAGTTTATTCATCACATAAAATATTATACATATTTAGATGTGCTTGTTCAAAGTAGGGACTAGTGCAAGATTATTGGGAATTTTTGCCTATTATGGACTTTTCCAATTTTTCTTAGACTTTGGCCTTTCCTTGGACCCCAAATTACTTACCATAAGACTTATACACATATTTACCAAATCCAATGGATGTACACCATGTTAATAGCACATAAAAATGTTATAATAAGCCTACGTGACACCACGAAATCCTAACTTACTTAGCGAAAATTTCCGGGGCCTTACAGCGAACATTCGAACCCGTAAACTATATAATTTCTAAACCCGTAAACTTTCAAACACATAAACCTCTAAACACATAATTTTGGAATTTGTAAAATTTCGAACCTGTAAACCGACAGATGAAAAAATTAAAATTGAAAATATTTATAAAAAAAAAAATTCCCGGGGGGGGGGGGGGGGTTGGCAGAAAAACAAAAAAACAGAAAATTGAAAATTACAAAAAAAAAGTAATTTTTTTTATCCTTTTTGGAGAGAGAGGTGGGGGGGTGGGTGTGGGAGTGGGTTGGGGGATAGGGTGGGGAAGGTTGAGAAGGAGTTTTGGAAAATGTTTTCCCTTCTCTTGATAAGGAAAACATTTTTCTCCAATTGAAAGAAAATGAGTTGATAAGGAAAATGTTTTCCAAAATATTTAAGCCAACCAAACATGGGAAAATTGAAAAACATTTTCCGAAAAATATTTTCCTTTCATACCAAACACACCCTAAGTCTATAACTTTATAAATATATTGCTCTTTATTACTATTCGATAATAATGTAGTATCTAAGTCAATTTGTACGAACCTTAATTAATTAATACTACATGTTACCTTTTACCAACATTGATACTGAGTAATTTTGTCTCTAAAAATATAGATACAATTAGATCTTTCTATAATAGCATCCCTATATAACAATACTTCACTATAAAAGCAAGCTTTTTCGGAATCAATTTTCATGTTATGTTATAATGCATGTTTTCTATAACAGCACTTCGTTATAACAGCCAAAAATATTCGGAACAAACGAGGCCGTTATACAAAGGTTTGACTGTATATAGAAAGAATACCTAACATTTTTTGGCTCTGAAAGTTGATCTTTGTTTATACCAAGTATATATTAATAACCTCTCGAGTGTTTACAGGTATGTCACTCTTATAATAAGTAGATAAAGATATTTAACAAGAAAAAATTAAACGCAACGTGGGAAAGATTTCTTTTTGAATTCTTTTTCATATTAATATTAATGCAACTTACAACTCCACCTTGTATCGAAAGGGAAAAAAATGAAACATAACGTTCCCAAGTAACAGAGTTATGTATACTTAAATGCTTCTTTGTGGAATACATTTATTCTGCCCAAAGATCATTGATTGATACTTGATGGGAACATTAATTTATTTGCTCTTTATGAGGCTTGACACAATCTTAGGTGGACCGGAAGGGAAGTGGCATGGTCAGATATTACTCCATTAGCTAAAGTCACACCACGACATGCAACTTGAGAATGGGACGGGAATGGCAAAATTTAATGATTTTGACTAAGAGTGTGTTTGATATAAAGGAGAATATTCTCCATAAAAAATAAGTAATTTTTTTATTTTTTTTCTAGTGTTTGATTAATAACAATAAGTAACAATGAAGAGGCGTAGCCCAATGGCAAAGGGTGATCAAGAGGGCCTTACGGGCGCGGGTTCATCTCCACTCTCCACAATTTTGAAGGGGAGCCTTGGCGTAACTGGTAAATTTGCTGACATGTGACCAGGAGCTCACGTGTTCAAGCCGTGGAAACAGCCTCTTGCAAAATGCATGGTAAGACTACGTACAATAGACCCTTGTGGTCCGGCCCTTCCCCGGACCCCGCGCATAGCGGGAGCTTAGTGCATCGGGCTGCCATTAAGGGTTGTGGATTTGGTTTGTGAGGGGGGGGGGTAACCTCGAGTTGGTGGGCCGGGGCGAGACAAAGGCGGATGCGTAGAGTTTTTTGAATATGGGTGCACCACTAAAAAATTGAAAAATATATTAAGCAGGAATTGATTCATGCTCCTCTAGGTAAATAGTCGAATATTCAACTAAGTGCACTATTAAATCTTTTTGAAGTATGAGTGCCAACATATAATATTAGACCAATTCTAGAAAACACGTAGGAGAGGTTGGGTTGGGGGGTGTTAGCTGGGGTCGAAGAGGGGGGGGGGGTCAATGGCGGGGAAGGCAGGGTCGAGAACGAGAGGTGGATCAGGAGTCGAGGCCAATGGCTAGATGGGGCGGGTGGTGTCAGGAGTGGTGGTGATTCTAGGTGGCAGGAGTTGATTGGGAGGGTGGGGGTGGGGGAGGTGTAAGAAATGTTGAATGAGAGTTCCGATAAATACTTTTTCTTCTCTTGGTAGGAAAATTATTTTTCTTAAATTGAAGAAAATAAATTCATAAGATAATTATTTTCTCAATAATTTAAGCATATCAAACGTAAAAAAAAGTTTGCAAATATCTTTTGAAAAATCATTTTGTCCTAAGAATAAAAGGCTGGCGTCGTCCATGCTTAAGAACAATACTGATAGTAGTATATATTTGTATTGCTTGGGATCAAATTGTACTACATTTTCGTTCAGCAAAGCTAATTCAACAAAATTGAGGAATTAATTTAGATTGAAATTGATATGTAGAAAATAAAGGAGATACAAATTGCAACTTCTCATCTCAACATTCACTAAAAATGAAGTACAATTTGAGTCATCGTTCATTTTATTTGATAATCCACGTAGGCATAAGCATCCTTTTGCATACAAGATTGAAATTTATTAATCAGCGGTTTTGTCGGGAAATTATCAAAAACAACATATTGTATAAATAGCAAACGTATAATTGTAGAAATCTATTTACTGGTAAGTATTTCCGGTAATTACGAGTTGATAACTTATTAATACATAATTTAAGTTATATACATAGACATTATAAATTTTTTAATTGTGTAATAGTTTTTATACCTCCTTATTTAGAATTAAATTAATTTAATTTTAAGATTCTCATTTTATTGTAATTCACAGTCATATATTTATGCCTTAGTTTAGAAAAACACAAATTTAATTTTTTTTATTTGTTTCTTAAACTTAATACTCAATTAAACAAATTCAAACGAACCGAGTGTTTGTATAAACTTCAATTTAATCACCTTAGTAAATTATTAGTACTGCATATAAATAAGGATATAATATAGTGGGCGTTTGGACATAAGAATTGTAAAATTACAAAAAAAGATAGAAAAAAATTTTCAAATGAAAATGGTATTTGAAAATTAAAGTTCTGTTTTGACATGAATATAATTTTGGATTTTTTTTTTGAATTTTTATGAGTGATCTGAGCACAAATTTTGGAAAATAATATTTTGGATTTTTTTAAATTTTTAAAAAGTTTTAAAATTCATATTCAAGTGAAAATTAGAAATTGTATGACCAAATATATTTTGAAAAAAAGTGATTTTTTTTTAAATACCGTAAAGTGTAATTACATCTCAAATAATCACACGTTACTAACGTCGTTAAACCCTCTGTACTAAGTAGTACACACGAAAACAGCCAGTTAGAGAGAGAGAGAGAGAAGAAGAAGATGAACAAGAAAAAGCTGAAAATTCTTGTTTTTCTCTTCGCTCTCAACTCAATCACTCTCTATCTCTACTTCTCTTCCCACCCTGATCACTTCCGTCACAAATCCCCCAAAAACCACTTTCCTAATACCCAAAACCACTTTTCCTTGTCGGAAAACCACCACCATAATTTCCACTCTTCAATCACTTCTCAATATTCCAAGCCTTGGCCAATTTTGCCCTCCTACCTCCCTTGGTCTCAAAACCCTAATGTTGCTTGGAGATCGTGCGAGGGTTACTTCGGTAATGGGTTTACTCTCAAAGTTGACCTTCTCAAAACTTCGCCGGAGCTTCACCGGAAATTCGGCGAAAACACCGTCTCCAGCGACGGTGGATGGTTTAGGTGTTTTTTCAGTGAGACTTTGCAGAGTTCGATTTGCGAGGGAGGCGCAATACGAATGAATCCGGACGAGATTTTGATGTCTCGTGGAGGTGAGAAATTGGAGTCGGTTATTGGTAGGAGTGAAGATGATGAGCTGCCCGTGTTCAAAAATGGAGCTTTTCAGATTAAAGTTATTGATAAACTGAAAATTGGGAAAAAATTAGTGGATGAAAAATTCTTGAATAAATACTTACCGGAAGGTGCTATTTCAAGGCACACTATGCGTGAGTTAATTGACTCTATTCAGTTGGTTGGCGCCGATGATTTTCACTGTTCTGAGGTTAGATTTTGAAACTTTGTTTGATCTTTAAATTAAAGGTTTGAACTTTGTGAATGTTGGCAGATATGGAATACAATAATGGATTTTATTTGATCTGTTTAATGAATATTGTCTAGAACCTCAATGCTATAAATATTTGTTTGTTGCTTCATTAATTAAAGAGAATATCCCGACTAGATGCCAGATAACACCAGTTAGTTGACTTTTGGATTGGATTGCATTTCATTTAATCAGATATGGTACTCATTCTTAAATGTTTCACTAAAGAATTCGTCAAGATTTCAGAGTTTATATATATAGGTGTATTTGGAATTCTGGATTTGGATCTAGTATTGAATGGATTACTGAACTTGTACTCCCCGGTCATCTGGGTAGGAGCAACAGATTAAATTCAAGGGTTGAAAAGTAATACTGAGTCAGAAATTAACCACTTTAACTTGGAAAATGGTAAATGTATGTGGTCTAAGATGATTACTCCTATAACTTTTGAGGTCTAACATGGAGAAAGTTAGTTGATTTATGCTCTTTCCTTTTCCCTTTATTGATTTTGGTTTTTAAATTCTATCAATTCCTCTGTTTGATTGCTTCTCAAATTGAACCTTAGACGTAGTAGCAAGCCATTTTTTCTCCTTTCATCTCTTTATTTCCGTTTTACACACAGAATATGGTAGCATCTGTCTGAACTGGTTAATTTTATTTCTTAAAATTTGCATAACTAATTCGAGTAAATGCCTTTTGAAGCTTTAGTTGTACAACTGGTTTTTGCTTTTTGAGGACTGTCAACTTGATTTGACAGTGTTTGATGCATGGCTTGTAAGTTAGGAGCAACTTATATCTAGGAAGAAATCCCAACCAGCGATAGGGGGCTGTTGCTTGGTTACGAGCTACTGGATCAAAGTTCAAGTTTGACCAGTTAATTTTAGATCTTCACCAGGATAACATTTAGAGTCTAATCAAATACTGAAGCAGTATTGTGCACTAATAAGAGGAACACATGAAGGATGTAGCGCTGCTAGGTTATGTTACCTTATTTACTAATGATTGAGAACCAGCTTAAATGATGACAAATGGTCTTATATTTGCTTTTTTACATTGCTCATGACTTGAGATATTTCTGGATCAACATTTTTCAGTTCTTTATGTACTTATCAAAAACTATCCCTGCTAGATGTTAGTGTTCAAGCAACCATGCTAGCTTTTAAGGAAGCTCCTTCTTTGATTCATGCCATCTTTCCGTAATCGATGCCTTACGTTACTGTCATTTTTCTAATTTTCATTTCAGTGGATTGAGGAGCCGTCACTTTTGATTACACGATTTGAGTATGCAAACCTTTTCCACACAGTTACCGATTGGTATAGTGCATACGTGGCATCCAGGGTTACTGGCTTGCCCAGTCGGCCACATTTGGTTTTTGTAGATGGCCATTGTGAGGTATGTTTGAAAGTATTGATAACGATGGCATGCATTGTACTGTGTTATGGATGAAAGAAATGAAACCAGCAATTATTTTCTAGCAGGCAATGCTCTTGAGATGCTTGTGTCAAATTGGTCAGACTTAATCCTGAGTTTCCATTTGTTTCAGCTTTCTGTTTGACTGAACTACAATAATTGTCCTGATACCTAGTTGTTGCGGTTGGCTCATTCTTACTTCTATTTACGTGTCACTGTTTCTCTGAATGGTCCCTTTGTGGTGAAAGGAGCTTTTGCTATGTAGAAAAACTAGCAAAGATTTCATTTCTGGAACAATTTTTTACCTTACATCACGTCTCGTAAAATTGCTTCTAACTGTATACTTTAATTCTTGGAGAGATGCTTTCATGTGAAGAAAGTTCCTTCACACTGCTGGAAGCTTGCCACATGAATTTTACTTGGCCATATTGGGGCCGTGTTTTGATTTATCTTCAAATTCATTTTCTTCATGTAATTCTTTTGAGTAATTTTTTTTTTCTTTTCTGTTTGAAAAAATTCAGACACAATTGGAGGAAACATGGAAAGCACTTTTTTCAAGCCTCACTTATGCTAAGAACTTTAGTGGCCCAGTTTGTTTCCGTCATGCCGTCCTCTCGCCTTTGGGATATGAAACTGCCCTGTTTAAGGGACTGACAGAAACTATAGATTGTAATGGAGCTTCTGCCCATGATTTGTGGCAAAATCCTGATGATAAGAAAACTGCACGGTTGTCCGAGTTTGGGGAGATGATCAGGGCAGCCTTTGGATTTCCTGTGGATAGACAGAACATCCCAAGGACAGTCACAGGCCCTAATGTCCTCTTTGTTAGACGTGAGGATTATTTAGCTCACCCACGTCATGGTGGAAAGGTACAGTCTAGGCTTAGCAATGAAGAGCAAGTATTTGATTCCATAAAGAGCTGGGCCTTGAACCACTCGGAGTGCAAATTAAATGTAATTAACGGATTGTTTGCCCACATGTCCATGAAAGAGCAAGTTCGAGCAATCCAAGATGCTTCTGTCATTGTTGGTGCTCATGGAGCAGGTCTAACTCACATAGTTTCTGCAGCACCAAAAGCTGTAATACTAGAAATTATAAGCAGCGAATATAGGCGCCCCCATTTTGCTCTGATTGCACAATGGAAAGGATTGGAGTACCATCCCATATATTTGGAGGGGTCTTATGCGGATCCTCCAGTTGTGATCGACAAGCTCAGCAGCATTTTGAGGAGTCTTGGGTGCTAAATCTGCTCGACAGTTTAGTTCGGCTTTTCTCTAAAAGACTGGGAAGGATAGAGGAATTCGGGGTTCTGGAACTTGGAGCCTGGGATTGTGTAAAATATGTTTCACACGCAGTTCTGTAGTCAATTGTTGCAATCTAGGTCCTCATTCTGGTGTTCACAAGCTTGGCAATTTCCAGCAGCTACTAATTTATTTGCCCACTCTGACTCGGCTATGGACTAGCAGAGCAATCATATCAAGTAGAAGCATGAAATCCTGATTGTGGAATGGGTGAGCTCATTGCAGAGCATATTCTTTATGGTGTTGAAGATTACAATTCACAAGTAACACGTGTATGTGAAGGATTGGGTTGGTACACTTTCTTACAATTCATTGTCAATTGTTTTATCATAGGATAAGAACATGAGAAAACCATCCATGTTCTGTGTTGTTTTCCCATCAATCTGGACACCCTCTTCCCTCCTTATGTAGAGATGATTTCAACAAAGTTTGTTTTCTAGTTGTAATACTTGCACTCACAATTACAGTTTTACATTCAACACATCAGATGTCAAGTTTAAAGGCATAAGACATTTGACATCTTGAAGAAGCAGATTAACAAGAACGTCAGTATGATGTTTCAGTGAAGATATGGTTGTAACTTGTAACCAACATAGATTTTGTCATATTTTAAGCTTTGTCTCTGTTATTCTCTTACACTGCCGCTAAATAGTGTTCGGGTTTTTGAGCCGTTAATGAGGACATTCAACATTCCCTTACAAATTTTTCTTCTTCTTCTTCTTCTTCTTCTGTATGTACTTGTGCTTGAATTTCACTTTAACTCTATCCTGTTATAATACGATAACAATAATACAACCTCTTAGCGCAATGGTGACATTAAGTTAAAAAGAAATAGAGTCGCCTGGAGTTGAATAAAGAGGTTGTACCTCAAGATTTTAGGATGAAACTTTGAGGACGAACAACGAAAAAAGTTGAGCAATTTATACATTGCTATACATTACATATACATTATCTATACATTGATGATACAATGGGCTATATGACTGTAAATTAGGCTAGCGTTTGGCCAGAGATCTCAAATTTATTTTGAAAAATCTGATTTGGGTGAAGTTTGGTTTGAAGATGAAAATGTGTTTGGACATACGCTTTCAAAACATATTTTCCAACTTTATTTTGGAAAGACATGTATATAATTCCCAAGTTTTGGGATTTTGGCCCAAAATCAGCTCAATAGCTGATTTTGGGATTTGAAATTTGGGGTTTGGGATTTGGCCAAAATATGAGCAAAATTTATGGCCAAACATGAGTTTTGAAAATAAATCCCAAATTTATTTTGGGAAAACTTATGGCCAAACGGGGCCTAGATGTGTGGGCTGTATGCCCATTGAAAGCACCAGTTAATTCCATATACATTTAAAATATTTATTTTACTTTGTATACCTATTCTATAAAACTTTATTTACTTTTTAAATCTTTAATATCATTATATGCCATCAAACAAATCCCACATTTTAAGGGGCTATATTATCTCTCTTTAACATATCTTCCGTCAATATTTTATATCCGTATAATATCAAATCTCTCAAACTTCTATTAAGCATCAATTACGAAAACAAATCCTTGTTTTGAGGAAACTGGTTCTTTCACTGATTTGTTCTTTTCAACTATCACTTTCCAACTATCACATAATCACTTCTTTCAAGTTTTCCCTCACAAGAAAATAGCAAATAATTATCCTCAAACACGCATTTTTGAACTGGGAGAAAGCTTATGGCAATACGAAACAAGCTGCAAACATAGTTATTGATTCTGAAGCTAGCCGAAGAATACCATGAGTTGGCGTGTCAACGAACGCAATTAATAGCTTTTAGGATGCGTATTTTTGTCTTTAAAACATAAGCGCAGTTGGAGATGTTGGCTGTTTTTTACTTTTATCTCAATTGGCCAGTAACTTAACCTTCTTAAAGATGATTACTTTTAATCGTTTTCTTTTTAACTACGTACATTGTTATGGTTCAATTTTAATTATTATTGCTTTTTGTCGCAAACGTGATTTGCATTAGTTTTGTCTAATCCAGCCAAGAATTTCAATCCTGACTACTGATAAATATTATATTTCAAATTAGAATATTGTAGATTTTTTTTGAATTAAAAAGTGTATTTCAAAATAGAATATTATAGTATGTTTGTTTTGAATATTGTATTCCAAAATTAAAATATTATAGTTTTATTTAAGGTTGAATAGTGTATTCTAAATTAGAATATTATGGTGTGTTTGGTCTAAATAGTGTATTCCAAATTAGAATGTTATGTTTTTCATATTGTGTTTAATAGTGTATTCCAAGTTAGAATATTGTGTATTTATGTAGAATTGAATATCATATTCCAATTTGGAATATTGTAGTATGTCAGGTTTGAATATTGTATTCTAGATTAGAATACTATGATTTTTATTTAGAGTTGAATAATGTATTTTTATAAAGTTTCTGTGCAACGAATATTTCTTTTTCAGAGTTGTACTTTTCTCTAAAAGGTTATGAATTTTAAAAAGATGTCAAAAGTTTCCAGTAGAGTTTTGTCTAAAATTTTATGTTTTACGCTTCATATTTATCAAGTTATTCAGAACATAAAGAACTTGGTTAGACTGGAAAGCCCTTACATAGAATTTGTAGGATTAAAAAAAAGGAATTCTGGTGGAGAAGTGTAATAGGTTTTGATTAGGAGAGAGAAGTGAATCTTAATATACTCTACATACACATTACAATAGTTATGGCTACATTTAAGGGATATTATCCCCTAAAAAGTGGCAGTTAGGATTCTGTAGATTAGAAAAAATATACGGTGTAATTATTTAGGGATTTTCTATGTAATTTCTATAGTTAGGGATATTGAGTAAAGAGTTTCTATTCGCACTCAAATTTGCTGCAATCTTGAAAATCAATGACATCTCTTAGGAAATATGGGCCCACTTGTATTATGCATATCTTTGCAACAATTTTAAAACGAATTTTTACCTATCTATACTACATGTGAAATTTATTTACCCTCTCTAATCAAGTTTTAACTTAATTATATGGTCATATATAATTTACCAATTATATGCAAAGTAGTTTTAAATGAGTCTCCCTGAACATTTCATTGTTCTTTTGCCTTACTTTGAAAAGGTCTGACTTCTTGGTCTGGACCTTGATAGCCCCGGAGTGTGCCTTCACGAACGAGTCTGCAAGCATAGCAAATGAATCAATAGAATTAGGTGGTAAATTATGATACCATATCATAGCTCTCTTTGACAGGGTCTCTTCGAACTTCTTCAACAAGACAGATTCGACCTCATCATCCTCCAAATCGTTCCCTTTTATGGCACATGTGTAAGAGGTAACATGTTCATTCTGGTCGGTCGTTCCATTGTATTTAGGACTCTCGGGTATGCGGAACTTCTTAGGGATCGGCTTCGGAGCCGCGCTCGGGAGAAAAGGTTTCTACACGAACTTTTGGAGTCCAGGCCTTTCAATATCGGAGGCGCTCCAGGATTTGATCGACCTTGGAATAGTAAGTTTCCACCTTCTTGTCGTTTGCCTCGATCTTCTTCTCTCCCGACTCAATCCGTTTCGTCAGTTCCTCAAGCATCTTCATGATTACCATATTGGTTCCTGATTCCTTCTCATTCGATCTCCTTGTCGATTCAACTTTGTGAACAACTTTCTGGATGGCTCAGGCTCAATCCTACTTGGTGGGTGACTCTGGTTCTAGAGTTGGGCTATTGCCGCCTGTTGAGCCTATAACATTTCGAAGATCACCCGCAAGTTGATTCCACCATCTTCGCCACAATGTATGCTTTGAGCGGCCGATCGAACATCCCTACGGACGCTGTCCTCAGGATCGGTCGGCAAATTTGTGTTGATGGCCACATGTGAGCTGAAGTCTATTGGATCTGCAGCCGGGACTCCATCGAGATCGACCGGGGTTACGTCGTTCCTGGGCGCTATGTTACCGTTTTCGTCGTGGTGGCCGAAATCATTGTCAACGTGTAGGGGTGCTGATTGGGAGTTCGACATTTTATCCTGAAATCAGAGACACTCCAAAGAACAAGTGTAAAATAATATGTGTTATTAAAGTGTGTATCAAATAACCACTATTATCCTTAGTCCCACGCTGAGCGCCAAACTATTTATTCCCAAATTCGGATAACAATTGAATTTATAGGTGATCTTAAGGATACATAGACTAAATTGGCACAAAGTGATAAGTTAAATTATAATTGAAAATAACAAATGATAAAGTAAGTTCAAACCACACGAATTGGACAGTAACAACATTGGGAGGAGGGTCCCCCTTGAATAGGATGCAATTCGATCACAACATCAAGACATAATTGAAATAGAACTATAAAGAGAAAATAACAGTATATTGCTTCTGAGTGAATGTTACAATATCTATTACAAATAATGAGACCCCCTTTATATAGTAGGGGAGTCCTACTTTAGATACAATTATATAAAAGGTAAGAAATCTCATGATTTGCTAATTAATCGGTCTCTCATTGATATGTGTCGAGATTTTCGCCATGAAATCCGACCGGTTGCGGATATTCCGGCCTTCCGTTATTTGGTCCGATAATATTTCCTCGAGCTTATTCGGAGTCGGAGTCGGTTCCAGAGTCACATGCTCGATGATCTTGAAGACGTATGTTCTAATCACGTACCTTGGTTCGATGGAACCGCGATCGATCTTCAATCCATCATGTTTCAGTCCCGATCTGTCATGTAATAGATGAGCCCGGTATTGATCGTATACAAAGTACATGAAAGTAAATCAAACAAATAATTTAACGTATAAAGTGTGTAAGCACGTGATTTTTGCCCTATATGAAATACTCCGATAAAAACCCCAAGAAAATAGATTTTTCTTACTTATTTGCCATTTTTAGGAATTTTGTACATTTTTTTTTAATTGAAAAATACCAAAATATCATGCATGGCATTTAGGCCTTACTTTTACATTTTTAGGATTAATCGATAGTTACTAGTTTTATAAAAATTAAAAATCACAAAAAATGCTTCATTTTTACACCTTTTCTTTTTATTGATTCTTCTCTTTTAATTTAGGATTAAGTAGCTTTTATAATTAGTATAATTCTATATTTTTAGGATTCTTAATTCTAGGGCTTTTAATTAAAAAAAAAGAGAGAGAGAGAGAGATATATAAAAAGAAAATTGGGAATAAAAAGAAGAATTGGAAGAACCTTCTCCCACATGAGACTTTCCCCCCAAAAATATTTCCCCAAAATTATTCCCCCACATAAGACCTTCCCACCAAAATATTCCCCACATAAGACCTTCCCCCAAAAATATTTCCCCCCAAGATATTTAGGCAGAATAGCCTAAATGGCACTTATACTTGTGCGACTTTGTCATCCCGGTCCCCAAACTTGATGAAGTTTCATCTAGACACCTCTACTCGTTCAAAAGTAATATTTTAAACCCCACTGACCATTGACCAAGTCTATGTGGCAACTTAATCGCTGAACTGGACAAAATCGTGTATTTCACGCATATAAGGAGCGTGAACGTAAAAAATTTATGATTAAAATAAGAAAAAAAGAAAAAGAAAAATTCAAAAAGTCAAAAAGAAAGAAAAGGCCAAATAGGTGATTTTTCACTTTCTCTTACGTTCTGTCGCCCACCAAGGACCGCCTC